ACAAAACAAGAAATAATTTTGACTATAAGAGTATTGGATTAAAAAAAGTGAAGAAAATAATCTCATAATTAAGTTAGCAATTTTTTTATAGATAAGGTCGTGCAGTTACTTACCTTCCTTTTTCTAATCTTTTTTAAGATTATATTTTTCATGAAAAATTACCAGTAAAAACTTTATAAAAAATAATTTATTAATGACCTTTGTTAGTTAACTATGTCGGTTTAAAATACTGTTAAGTGCTATAAGTTGCATTATTTTTCTATGCTTAAGTTTCCTTCTTACTTTATCAGCAAAAATTCATTAGTTAATAAATAATATGAAAGTAAAAACTATCCTTTCTTCCATCTTGCGTTCACAAATCATTATGGGAATATCCATTTACAATTATTAAAGCCTGAAAAAAGCATGTCTGCGATGTTATCGTCATGGGATGATTTGTAGATACTTTATTTTTTACCACGATATTTTGTGCAACAATGTTTTAGAACTGTGATATTTTCTCCCACGATGTTTTGTAGCATGTCATTTTCGTCTTGCGTTGTTTTCTCCATGATGTTTTTGCCACGATCTGTTTGGCTGTAACCGTGTTAAGTGTTAGCCATCTCTTCTCAGATCATTATATCAATGTTCAGTGTACTTACTAAGATGGCTTTACAAAACTTTTTGTTGTCTTTTTATTATTAACATTTTGTGCTTTTACTTTATTTATTAAATATCACATTCTTGGCACTTACACGGTAGAAAATTTGATTCAATAGCTAAATCACAAAATATTTAAAAGCAGCATATCTTTAGAATTTCCAATAGAAAATCTCATGTGCTGGAGATAAAATGTTTTATTCTGTACAATGTTGCTACTGCTCATTTTGAATTCATTGAATTTGTTAATCTTTCTTTTGTAATTTTTTTTCATAGTTTCCAATTTCCTTTTGTTATCTTCTTCTACCAATTCTCTTTGAATAACTCTGCTAACTTTTCACTTTTTGTCATCTAGGATGTAAGACAGTAATCAATGACCCAGACTTCCGAGTTTTTGAATTGTGATAATTTCTTAAATTTAAAAAATAAAATAGATCAATGTTATCATTATCTTTCAAATTCTTTTTGTTCAATCTCAGTTTGCAACTGATTTTTTGACTTTTAACCTTAATTCAGTGGTGCAAAGGGTGACATCTGCCACGGGTGCAGCATTGAGGAAGTGCCAGATTGATGTTACTGAATTTTAGAATGAAATGTTTTCACACAGAAAGGGGTGAAAAATTTTCAGTTATCACCAGTCACTGAAAACCCTAGTTATGGCTCTGCCTTAATTTTATATATACCTTCACAAATATTTATGATGGCATTGGAAGAAGTAATATGTCCTCTCTGAAAAGGTACACTGTACATTATTGTACAATTAACAATTGACAATGAAAATTTGTTCTATGAAGAAAAATCTTGATAAAAGTAGAATTTGTTAAAGCAAGAATGAATAAAAGACTGGTGTCAAATGAACAGGTAAAGATACTTAAGGGCACACCTTTCCTTACACTTTGCAATACAATGATGCTTATTTATCATTTTTACAGTTTAATAATTAAATTTTTAATAATGTTTGCCTCCCTTTCATTATGAAGATGTATCTAAAATTAGAAAGAAAACCATGAAATAAATATGCTTAAGAAATATATGAAAGAAAGAAATGAAAGAGGACGAAATAAAAAATTTGATCTTTCACTGTAGTCGAGAGGGATATCAATTACCATAAATGAAGAACAGAGAGAAATATAGCTCCAGCAAGGTTGAATGTTAATGTCAAAAATTTTCCTTGGAACAAGAACAAAATGTTGTATATTTAGTTCGAAAAGTATAAGATAAGTTTTTAATGAAAACGTATGATGTCTGAGTTTAAATTGCTCAACAGAATTTCAGATTTGTTTATTAAGCTAGGGCTGAATATACTTGTACTAATACTTGAATCTGAACTCATATTTTATACTTTTATATCATAGAGGAAAGATAACTCAAATTTTCTGCTAAACCCATTTAGAATATGTTCATATGAAACCATGTTTCTGGGAGGGGGGAGAAAAAGAAAAGCTATTAAATTTCATAACATTTTACTAAAATTTGCAACTCTCAATTGGCAGTATTTAAAATTCACCATAAGCTATTTACAGATTTCCAACAATTTTCTGTATAGAATGAAGTACATAAAATAATTAAATATCTGAATACAGAATCATTATAATTAAAAATATTCATTTTTATGTGGTAAAACTAGATACAAGACAGTTAATTAATAATAAATTTAAATAAGAATAAATGTTCAAAAAATGCAATAAAACAAGTATTTATATAAAGTCACTGCAATACATCTTCCTATCCATTATTCCAACATAGATTCTGTTTGTTATCTTAATGCATTTAACAATGCAATGATTAATCTGTTTCTTAAAATCTGACGAGCAGCAATGTCCGAGGATTCCCCATATTGACTTCAAATGAATATGTCTACTTATCTCTAATTCCTCAGGGAGCAATTAAAATTTTTTTATTAGAATATATGAGGATCTATTTGTTTATACAGTACAAAGTCCATAATCTGGACATCCATTATCTGAAATGATCTATAATCTGAACCTCAAAGGCCAGAAATGTTTTTTTTGTATGCTTTACGCATGCACGTAAAGAATGCACGTGCATACATTATGTGCATTACGCAAGTGCATAATGTATGCTCTACACATGTGCGTATTGAAAGAAATGTTTAATAAAGTAAACAAATAAATATTAAGCTTTTTTTGTGTAAAATTTGACACCGTTTTGATCATAATTGCTCTTTATTTCATAAATTACAGTTTCATATTTTTAATTGTATAATTTCTGCATGCCATCTTACCAGATTTAAATTGATATCTATAATCCAGAAAAACATCTAACCCGGAATCGCCGACGTCCCGACGAGTCTGGATTACAGATTTTGTACTGTATATGTCTTCCAACCAGTTATGTGCATTATTTTATTATTTAATTAAATATCTATAAATCAAGTTTTATGTTCTCATTTCATGTGATCTAATACACCATTTAATGCCTCTAAAAATTTCATTTCTGCAGCTTGTATTGCATTTTAATACTTTGTTCAGTTTATGGGCTAGTAATTCATGTTCCTGTTTAAACTATGATTCCTAAACTTATTGCAGTTTTCCACAATCTTGAAATGTCAGTATAGGCACCAAAAGAGAATATTGTTCAGCTTACACCCTTGATTAATAAAAAGTCTATTAGTATATCATAGATTTGCATTAAAAACTTAAAAAATAGTAATTATATAATATCATTTCAAAAGTAAAAAACCTGAGAGGCATAAGAGCAACAGGGATATGTAGCTAAGCCAGCTGCATTCTAATAAGGGAAACTGAATCATATTTGTATTAATACTTTGGAAAAAATTATCTTCTTTTTCAACATAATGGCCATCTTTGACATGTCAGCCATCTGATACTATGCCATACAGCATAGCTGTTTTCATCCTCCTATTGTGTCTTCTCAGGTTTCTACATCTAGAGTGTTGCAGGAGAGACGATCAGCATTCCCTTCTCCTGAGTTACATAGGGGATTAGTTGAAGGAGCTGAGATTGCCAATTTTATGGACACTGGAGATAGTCACGGCCATTTGTCAATCTAAAGATGGCCACGGCCATGTCTCGGGGCAGATTGTTGGGCATGGATCTTTCTCTTATTGTTTCCCATCTTTTTCCAACAGTAGCTTCCCTCCATGCCTCATCTACAGTTTGGGAAAAATGAACAAAACATACAACTAGTTTCTTCAACTGTTGAGAATGGAAACGCAAACATCTGAGAGATTCTGCTAATGATACACATGTTTGTGACCAGTGAGAAATCTTAATGACATTTTAAATTGGTAGTTTGTTTGGAATTATCATTTCAAGTCAAAGTGAGAACAATAAGAATTTTTACAAGCTAAGAAAGTGTCCTTAGCCAAAATTCATTGGTAATTCACAGAAGTTGAGATTGATAATGTAATTTAAAAAGTAAATGGCTGCACGATGGCATTCATAAACCTAGCAGAGATCTAACATCTTATAAACAGTAAGTGTTCCATTCATTGTTAGCTGTGATTAAGATTACAGCTGTTGATGAAATTAAAAGGAATTAACAGATAATTTCCTACTGTATTGTGCCAGAGCCAGGAGGAGCATAGTTGCTGCTCTATATATTATGATTGATGTTTTCAGTACATCAAGTTTTGTGTAAGATGGTTCCAAGGAAGTTAACGCATATGACATAGCATAATGACCTGTTAGATATAGCATGATAGCCTGTTATGCACGATGGCCAGTTTGACATTCCTGTAGGGTTATGCTCAAGACAGTTAGAGCTTTTTCAACTGCATTGTAACTGGAGGCAAGATATGGCTGCACTATTTCATTCTCACCATCAGGAAAGTCTTCATGCAATGGAAAAATATAGTACCAGTTGACAGGATAACATCTGCTGGATAATTTATTGTATCCATTCCCTGAAATTTCTTTGCTGTGATTTTAATTAACTTGTTTGAGAATAGATGCTCCATTGTGCTAATCGATAATGAAGCAATGAAGAGCATGTAAGAAATGAGTGCTGAAAAAATTGCTTGAAACTATTCAACAAAAATAAAAATCAAAGTTTTTTTCTTCTTACAAACCTCATGAAACAATTCAGAAATAATTTTAATGTGTATTTTATTTAAGAATCTGACGATTCTTTTAGCATAAATAAATAAGTCTTTTAGGAGATAAAAACAATATATTAGAAGTTTTAAGTCATTCAGTAATAAATATTCCTTGTATTTATTGCTTGATGTAGAGCTTCTAATATATTGTGATTTATTATTCTGATTGTTTATGGAGTGTTATTACAAAATATTTATTATTTCTTTCCTTCAAGAGTTTGTTGATTTTATTATATGTATATGCATTTAAGTATGTTACAAAATAAGACTGTATGTCTAGGCTGAAGAATTTGGTCAGTTTTGGTTGGAAAATGCAAAAGATCCATTGAAAGGCAGAAATTTTATATTAGCTTCTATATGCCCACAAGTATTTGGCTTGTATATTGTAAAATTAGCAGTTGCATTAGTACAAGCTGGAGGTGTAGTGGTAAGTCTTTTAATATTTTGTTACATGAATTAAGTTGATATTTTCAAATGGTCTTCTGAAATATTATTTTTAATGATATTATTTATAACTGAACTTGTTTACTGAACTCCACTGAAACAGTATTATCTGTGTAGAACGTCCCAAAGAAATTATTTTGTTAATTTATGAAAATGGTGAGGAGTTTGCTGAATGAATTCAGCTTTTCCTAGCCTGACATGATAAAGTGGTTAGATATTAGTCGTAGTGTCATCTACAAACTGTATAATCAGTTCGTTAATAAATAGAACATTTTAGGATTAGTTGCAGGTTATACTACCAGGGTAGCTCTTTTGATGATTTCTTTCTACTTCTTTAAACTATGGGGAGGGAAAAATGATTCAATTAATTTCAGCTCGCTACTGATGATTTTGTTCGAACATCTGTGAAGATATCTGTGAAGAGAAGCGTCACATAAAAAAAAAAATCTGTTTATTAAAAAATCCAAAAATTTCAGTTTAGGTCATTAAAATTGGTCATTTTATCAGATTTATTATTACAGATTCTAGTAAATACCTGATGTGAATAATATACATCTTTAAGGAAGTAAAATTATTGACCAGAAGTTTTTCTGATGGCTAGATACTTACTGGTTAAACTGTAGCTGCAGCTGGCAGTATTCCAGAAATAATGATTGTTTACCTTCTTATTTAGTAAAACAGAAAACAGAAATTCTTTCAAAGATCTTCAGTAACCACACATTTTATTAGAATGTTTTGGTTCTTGTGTTCCCTAACCCCAACTCTGAACTACTAAAAAAAGGATTGTAGCCTTGAGAGCAGTTGAAATTACAAAAAATATTACAAACATTAAAAAAAAAATTAAAATATGCATATATATATGCATTCATAAGAAAATGAAAATAAATTGACATTTTGATTTAACCACTACAAAGTGGTAGTAAAAGTTATGGATGAAACTTTCGTTTGAGTTATCCCATAATTGAAAATGCTCAGAATGCCCCACAGGGACAACCAATCTTATGTCTGCAAAAAGGAAGGAAGGATAATGCATCTACCGCAAAGGCTCACATGGGAATCGAACTCACATCCGTGGCTTAAGGCTATCAGTCATCTTTCACTACCGACCATTTGGATAGTTATTGGCTAAAATCTAATTTGTATCAAAATGTCATTATTCCTGATTTTAAAAATAAGTGAAGTAGAAAGCATGGAGATTAAATTTTCAGTATTAAATAAGTTATTAAACAATAATACATAGCATATGTAATTGTGTGAGATATTTTAAGAGATTTAGGGAAAAGGGGGTTGGTAAGTCTAACTTTATATAAAAGTTTTGAAAATGCTGCTTCTGCTTATACTGAAATAAAATTTTGCTTGTATTACATCCTAGTAGAACAAAATGTTTTATATTTCCACTATTTGTCAAAGTAAGTTGACAAGTATGTGTATATACTACCTATAAGAATTAAAAAAAAAGGGGGGAGGAAAGAAAGCTGGTTCCACTTAAATATTTTTGAACAGTTAGGAAGATTGCTATATGTATTTATTTAGCATTTGGTTTTCTCTTCAGTTTAATTCATTTTTCTTAACTGCGTGATTAACCTGGTGCATTTTGAAGCATGGTATAATTTTATGTAATCTCTAGTTTGGATGTCTCGCTTTCAAGTCTTTCACTAATCTAAATTTAGATCAACTGCAGATTAAATTAATCTTTTTAATTCTTAATAAGAAAAATTCTATCTAAATATAAATACTAAGAGTTTATGTCTGAAGTTAAAAGAATAGAAATTTTAATTTATTAATCATAATGCTTTTATTTTTCAATATCATATTAATCAATTTTCTGTCCATTAATTATGTATATATATAGGTACTTATCTGCCATGTGAAATCAAATAAATAATAAAAAGATTTAACTCACAGTATTTGGATATGATGGTACAGATTAATAATGAATTAAAATACTGAAAGCAATTAAAAATAACTTAACATGTAATGGGACTATGGTTTATATCAAAGTAAATCAAAATTGTGATCATTTCATTGGTCTAGAGATAATGTTCATGTGATACTTTATGTCTTCATTATCACAACTATTTTAAGTAAGAATTAGGGACTGGATGTATACTTAAATAACTTTTTTTTTTTTTTTTCCAAATCTTAAATTAGGAATTTGGTAATTTATTTTTGTTCATCAAAAGTCTGTTCAATTTATCAAAGAATACAACATTTGGCTACTACATTTAACTATTAATACTATATCATATATTAATATATTATATTAATAATTTATTTCATCAAAGCTAGAAATGCTTTTCATGTAATTTGATTTAAATAATGGTTAATGAAGTAGTATGTGATCTACCACTTTTAGTTAGTTATTTTTTAGATGGATACAACTAAAATTCATTGTTGTTTTAGTCATTCCTTTTTTTTTTTTCCTTCCCATTTTATAGCATGTTCAAATATGAAAACTACTGAATTTATTTTATGAAGCTATCGTTATTGAAATAAAAAATCATTGAAGTTTTTAGTACCACATTATCTCATAGAGACATGGTGGAGATCCATTAATAAAAATAATTATTATTGATCTATGCTGTGGGACATTTGTAATGTATGTGGTTGAAGGACTCATTAAAATGCCCTTTTTTTAAGGGCCACTCTTGCTTTTATTTTCTAAAATTGGAAGTAATTTAAGTTTGATAAAATCAAAAACTTAATAGGTTCTAGAACTAATTAATGAATCATTGTCATTGCCATTCTTTAATTACAGTACAAATTCTGAAATCCGGACTCGTCGGGACTTAGGCGATTCCGGATTTGGGATTTTTCCAAATATTAGATCATCAATTTAAATCTGGTAAGATGGCATGCAGAAATTTTACAATTAAAAATATGCGATCATAATTTATGAAATAAAGAACAATTATGATCTAAAGCATATCAAAATTTACAAAAAAAAAAAAAAAAAAAAAGCTTAATATTTATTTGTTTACTTTATTAAACATTTCTTTCAATGTAAGTTGGTTAAGTTGCTTCCACAAAAAAATTCAAAAAGTTCCTTTTTCTTTTTTCTTATGTCAAATGCAGTTGACTTTCCAATGTCATACTCCTCGCATAATTTTGAGACGCATATGCCTTTATCCAATTTTTCAGCAATTCCACTTTTTGTTTAATAGACATTGAAACATGGTTTCACTTTCCAAATCCTTTGGCAGCTTCAGGATTGGAAACTCTTTTCGACATAATCGAAAGTTCAAACTTAGTTTTTATAAAATTCCCGTAATATTAACAGTCTGCAAAAAATAATAAGCTGGATCAAATTAGAAGATTAGGGAGCAGCGCAGTCTGCTACATTAACTGAAATGCCTTAGAATGAGTCAAGATAATTTTAGCCTAGCTTAATAGCGTCCGTTATACATTATTGGTTGTGTATCACAAGATTGGCGACAAAAGCCAAGTTGTTTTGCTAAATTTTGTCTTGCTTCTATTGCATACTGAATTAAGCCTGAGTTGTATTAATTTAGTTATTTACTATACTTACGTTTATTTCTTGCACATGCTTAAAACTAATCCGAGTCCTGAATAAATAAACTCCCTCATATACTTAAGGCTTTATCTAGGGCCGGTGCTAGACACTGCCTGGTGCAGTCTGTACAGGTCCTAAATTCTGCTACAAAGTGCCTTCCTAAGTTCTAAACACTGGATCCTAGTGCTTTCCCTAAATCATAAAAAACTTCTCATCCTTTATTTTTGCAGCTCGGTGCTTCCTCAAATTCCAAAAATTCCTTCATCTTCCCTAAATTCTGCCATCCGGTGCCGACATATTCTACTGCTGCTTCTGGGTTTATGGTGAATAACATATCAGTTATTCTTAATTAAAATAGCACTAAATGTAATCTTTTGGCCTATGAGTTTCATTAACAAAATCTATTTTTAGCATATGAAAAGAAATTTTTGTTGAATTTTTTCTCGTCAACATTTCTTAGAGCATTTAAAAAATCTATAATCATTGCCAGGTTGCAATGATTATAGATTTTTTAAATGCTCTAAGAAATCTATAATCATTGCAATGATAATAGATTTTTTAAATGCTCTAAGAAATCTATAATCATTGCCAGGATGAAAGGTTGCCATACTCTTGTTATTCAATTGCTAATATAAAAAAAGTTTAGATGTTGCTGCATGAGTTATTAGTGAAGCTGTCATGTATTGATAAACATGCGGTGATGAAAGCAAAATATTATAAATAATGACTCGCCAGGTCAGCGTCAAGGATATAAAATAGGTGAATGTTTCGGCTTGACATGTATGCCAAGCAGATACTCAGTTACGGAAGCAAATATTAATCTGACAAATTTATGCTTACATGATTGTTTTTCCATAACAAGGTATTTTATTTAGTGCGTAAGTGAAATTAAGAATCGGAATTTTTAAGTTAAAATCTCCACATGTTTTATTATGGAAGGAAAAATCAAATGTGCATGCGTAAAGCATACAAAAGAAAGTCTGTGGCTTTGAGGTCCAGATTTTAGATCATTCCAGATAACGAACGTCTGGATTTCGGACTTTGTACTGTATTTGTATTAATTCCATGTTTAAAAATAGTGTTTTAATATGCCACCTAAGAAATAAATAACTAAAACCAGTACATCACATTCTGCATCATTACCAAAAAATACTATTTGTATAAATCAAGATTGCATTTGATCATTTAAATAATGTTTTATTTGTATGAACATTTGTTTTAGAAAACAGATGAAAATTCCCGAATTAGGGGTGATTCCCATCTATTATTAGTTGGTGATCCAGGTTTGTAGTTTATGATCATTGATAACCAAATTTAAATTATTTCAATAAATTTTCAAGAAATACATCTATCATCTTTATTGTGGACTGTTTAATGATCTTTATCTGATGATATGTTAATTTTGTAATGTTTAAAAATTTTGCTATAATTGCTATAATGTTTAAAAATTGTTTGTATGTTTTGCTTCCAGGTACTGCAAAATCACAGTTTTTAAAATTTGCATCAAAAGTTTCTGCGCGATCTGTTTTGACATCTGGCATTGGAACAACAAACGCTGGATTGACTGTATCAGCAGTGAAAGTAATTATTTATTCTATGAAAATTAGGTTTTGAAAACTAACTGTATGAATAAAATGAAAATGTGCCTTTATTGCTATGTTCATGATTTAAAATTAGTCCTATTCATGTTACACAAACTTGAATATATTTTTTTCTATGGATTCCAAAATAATATGTTTAATTGGTAATACATAAGTGCAGATATGTTACAATTTCATTTATAAATATTCTTAAAACAGATTAGTTTGACCTAATCATATAACTGAAACTATTTTTTTTAATCTGTGTATAAACTTAGTTTGATTTGATTTAATTTATATCTACACAGCAATCCATTATTCAAGCTCAAAAGCATACTTGCCAACCTACAACACTAAAAAATCAGGAGATTTTTTTAAAAATCAGAGAGAATTTTTCAATAACAAAAAGATTTTTTGAATAATAAAAATATGTAGAAAGAAAAAATATTTTTAATGATGTATTAACTTTAAATAGTAACTAATTAATATCTGAAAATAAAAATATTTAAAAACTTTTTATAGTTTTTATCTTTAAACAGTTTTTGTTTTTGCACTTGACTATTTCGTAGCGATTTTACTTCTGGGAAGCATTTTTCTAAAAAATCTGCAGCATGATTTGATGCATTCAGAGGCTGGTTACGCTCCAGTAAAAAGACAGAGAATAGGTATGCGGCCAACCTACAACACTAAAAATTCAGGAGATTTTTTTTAAAAATCAGAGAGAATTTTTCAATAACAAAAAGATTTTTTGAATAATAAAAATATGTAGAAAGAAAAAATATTTTTTAATGATGTATTGACTTTAAATAGAAATCAATTAATATCTGAAAATAAAAATGTTTAAAAACTTTTTATAGTTTTTAACTTCAAACAGTTTTTGGTTTTGCACTTGACTATTTCGTAGCGATTTTACTTCTGGGAAGCATTTTTCTAAAAAATCTGCAGCATGATTTGATGCATTCAGAGGCTGGTTGCGCTCCAGTAAAAAGGCAGAGAATCTGGTATGCTGCATTATTAAATTTTTAGTACTTTGTTTCCACAGAAAAGTTAAATTTTTGTTTTCAGTATAACTAATGTTAACTTGTGTAAACACAAATTGTGTAAACATAACTTGTGTAAACACATGTTTAAGAACATCGGGCTTTCCACCGTGCGAAATCGAAAAATCGCAATGGCAAACGATGTAAATTGCAATATTACATTTCCTTAACGAAATAATAGAAGGAAAGTCATCTGTATACAATTTTTGAAAAGTAAATGAGCATTTTGTATTTTTCACAGACATAACAAATGCAAAATATCACAGTTTCTTAAGCTGTTTCAGGAAAGCATGTGAAACTTAAGCTACTCACTGATGAGATAAACAACCCTGATCTTGCTTAGTGCTTATTGGCCAGATGACCTGCAACGGAGGATTCTCGTTGGAGAACAGGCACACGACATTTTTGGACACATGTTTTGGACTTTCATACACAATGCAGAAACATGCCATATTTCAGGGATAAAATGACTTTGGTCATTTTTATGTGCATCTAGAAAAAACAAGCGCTTTCAGACGCCAAAAATCACTTTTTTGCGGACAAATAAGGAAGTATTAAGCCAAGCTACAAAAAATCATGAGAAATTTTAAGAATAAAAGAAAGTCAGGAGAAATACGTTAAAAATCGGGTTGGCGGCAGTATGGTCAGAAATCGGGAGAATTGGCAACTATGTCAGAAGGAATCTTATTAAACTGCATAAATTAGCTTATTGTTTTCAATTCATACAGGTGAGTTTTACTTGTTTATAGATCATTTAAACTGCAAATTCTGAAGACTAAAGGTAAATGCCAAATTATTTATACAGTCTAAAGTCTTTAATCCGGAGTTCGGTGATTCCGGATTATCGGTTTTTCTGGATTATAGATCATCAATTTAAATCTGGTAAGATGGCATGCAGAAATTATAAAATTAAAAATATGAAACCGTAATTTATGAAATAAAAAGCAATTATGATCTAAAGAGTATTGAAATTTACAAAAAAAAAAAGCTTAATATTTATTTGTTTACTTTATTAAACATTTCTTTCAACGCGCGCATGCGTAAAGCATACATTACTCATAGTCGAAATTAGAAAATTGTCCCCAGAAAACTATTTGATGTGTATTCATGATATTTATAATGATGATGAATTTGATTTAAATCATATCAAAAACGGAGTACATCGAGATAAAATAACATAAATAAATAAGTAAGCCGAATAAAATAAAAACATCTGCCCTGAAGATAAGGATAGTGCTGACAGATCAACTTCCAGTTCATTGCACGATGCGACGTCCCCCCCGATCCGAATTATAGATTATTCTGGATTATGGATGTCAGGATTAAAGACTTTTGACTGTAGTATAGGTTTTTAGTTATTAATTCAAGAACTGTGCTCCAGAAAGAAAAAAAATCACAGTCTTGTTAGTTTATAAAATGCAAAGGCATGCCCCATCCTTGAAATTAGATAAATAAGTCATGTTTTTGGGGGTTTCAAATGTCATCTCACTTGTACAGATATTAGATCTACTGATGTTTACAGCTTGTAAGACATATTACATGAAAAACTTTAAAGATGTGTTAAAAACATGGAAAAACTACTCAAGATTACCAATGATGTAGGACTGGTAATATCATGACATTGCAAATGGTCATGTCAGTATCAAGGGATTGATCATGAAATAAAAATTTTTTCGTTCAAATTATGACCAGGAGTATTAACTGGTAGTAAAACTGAATTTTAAGTATTTTGGCTACTTCAAAGTGTATGAAATGTAGAAAATTTGAAGCAGTAAATGAAATAGAAAAAATAAATGTTCTTATGCCATGATAATTATGCTTTGGTATGAAATTAGGTAGAAGATTTAATTACCTTTAAAAATAAGCAGGCAGTGTTAGAAGAGGAAATGGATGCGGAGTTTTTAAGCTGAATTTCCTAAAAAATCTATTACATGTGGTTTTTCTTGTGCAGAACGATTAAGGTAAATTGTCTTCCAGAAAAAGGAATTGAAGGTTAAAAAGAACAATTAAAGTTTACTAGATTCTTAAAAGAAATACATAAAAAGAAGTTTTATAAAACATTTTTTTAATGTTGCTGATGTTTTAAATATTTTCATTGAATTAATTTTTAATGTTAAAAAAAGATCAGTATTGAAATAAAGTATTTATGTGTGTTAGTACTGTAATTACTATTTCAACTGAAATTTCTTAAATTGTGCATGTGAACGGCTAGAATTGTAATAAATTCCTTTTTGTATGTTCTTTAAGATCCTTTACACACTGTTTTGACATCCATTACAATTGCAAAAACATAACCGTCTTCAGATAAGGAGGGATTATTGTATAATTTAATCTCATACTTTTTATGGTTAATAGATTAGATTGGCTTGTCTAGTAATTTTATTTATTTTCCTAAAAATGTGGTATTCAAACCTTTTGAGAGTGCAGTCCTGCTTGGGACATCGAGGTAATATGCTGATCCAAAAGTTAAAACATCAGTAATTTAATTGCTCAAAAGGTAATATTAAAATTCAGGAAGATGTTAATAATTATTTTTATTTCATATAAAACAAATATTAGTGACAAAGCAAGTACAAAAAACTAAAAATCAACTTTGTAGTTACCAAAGATGTAGCTGAAAATTCGACTAGCATTAATCATTTAAAGTTAAGACATGGTATATAACATATAGGAACTTTAAAAAAAAAAAAAAAATGTTTAATGAGACCTATGAGCTCATTTTTTGATCAAGTAGTGATATTTCTGGATGTATTCTGCTCAATTTAAGTCTTAAAGGTGGCTTTACTCATAATTTATTTTGATATTTAGATTTCAGATAAAGGAATTGGGACATTCCCGTCTCACACATGTAAGATGAGGCAAATGGTAATACATTACCTACACCTTATTAAAATCATTTCTGTTGCAAACATAATTTGAGTTTATTAAGCAGTGAGTTTATTGAACAGTGATTTTGTGTATTCAGACTGTGAAATCTATTTTAAACAGTTCAAATAAATCATTTATAATTTATCAATATTAAATTACTAACGACTAATTCATAATTAATTCTAAAATAATAATTTTAAATTTATTTTAAAATTTTGTAAAGAAATATTTTTATAATTACATTCTTGATGAAATTTTAACTCTTATAAACAGCTATTCTATATGTGTTTGTTTCATATTGTTCAGCAACAGTTTTTCGATTGTATTCTCAATTTTGTAATACTGCTGATAGTTTTTTGATCAACATCTTTCAGTTCAAGAATTTTTCTTATGCATGACCTCCAGCAGAGACATCAACTTAATTATCTCTTTTGAATCACTTCCATTTTTACAAAATTCAATCATATTCATCATTTAATGAATATCTTTGTAATGACATTTGAAAGATTTTATATACCCTAAAATTAAAGGTTGAATGTTAAAAGCTATGGCTTAAGTCTTTTCGCTTGGTATTTTCAACATGTTACAAGTTAAGCAGACAAGAAATTAAAAAATGCTTCTTCGAGTGATTTATTTGAATTTCAGAAAACATTTCTAGCTAGCTGAATTGTAGCTGACTGCCCTTTATCTAATTCAGAAACCCTTTATCTGTTTAATCAATCTGCCACTTCATGCTTAGAAGCATGACCAGTGCTTTTCTTGATTTTTCTTCTGTGTACATTTACCATTTTGTTTCCATTTCAAAACTTTTAATGTAGGGTAGTGCTTGAAGAATTTTATGAACTTTTTTTATAACACTCTTTGAACATAATTTGTCTATCTCAAGATGCAATTTTGAATGTGGAAACTTTAAAAGATGGAATACACTTCTTATCATCTTTTCACTTCCTATCATCCCTTCTGCCCCTGCTTAATATTTCTTATCAACTTGTACTCGAGGATGAACTCTTACTCATTTACAATGCCTCTAGAAGATTGTTTTTATTGGTCTTAAATTATAACAATACTGCCGCTCTGAAGTCCATTGCAGACA